CTGCCCCCCCAACCTTGCCGCAGGGTCTTCCAGCTGCCAGAGCTATGGGGTCAGGGACCCACATCCACAGCCCCCAACAGAAGGCAGCAGCTGCTGCAGTGGAGCAGAGCCCGGCTCCCTTCCTGCTGCCTGCCTGCTGCGAGCTCGGGCAGGAGGTGGGGCTAGCTCCCTGCTGCAGCGCACACTCCAGTGGGGCAGGGGGAACCTATGCCCCCAGATCTGTGAACAGGGTGGGGGCAGGGCACGTGCATACTGAGGGCTCAGGCTTCCTCCCTGCTGCCCTCCCTGAGGGCCTCTGCAGCTCCGTGGATTTGACCCAGTGCTCCAGGGAACAGTGGCGCCATGCAGGAAAGCTGCTTGCTGCTGTGAGCTCCTCAGTGCCCTGTTGATGCATCCCTTGCACGTGCAGCAGCAGTGAGCGGCACAACCCTGCACTGCTGCCCACACTGCGGCCTCGTGGGTACCGTGGATCTTGCAGCAGCAAGTAGCTTTCCTTGTGCAGTCCTGCTGTTTCCTGCAGTGTTGGGTCGCACCCGTGGGGATGTGGAGGCCCTGAGGAGAGCAGCAGGGCAGGCAGCCTGCACAGATCTGGGGGGCATGGGTCCCTCCACCCCCTGAGGAGTGTGTGCCCTAGTGTGGAGCTGGCCCCAGCCCCTCCACCTCCCAGACAAGCTGTCCATGGTCCCATCCCACTTCTCACCAGGGACCTGTGGCTGTGCATTGCAGCCCCAGGCCTGAAACCCCCCACACTGCCTGGCTGGGCAGCAGCCACTGCCCCAGTGCTGCGCAACCCCGTCCCTCCCTCCCTATGAGGGGGGCCTCAATTCCCTTTCCCCCCTCCACTTACCTGTGGGAGCTGCACTCCAGGCTGCCTGCCTACCATGTGCATGTACATGCACATAGCACCCCCTGCCTGACCCCTCTTCTCTCACTCCTTCCTAGCACTCTGCAGGGAGGAACTCTGCCAGGCTGCAGAGGGCTTGTTACAAAGCTGCAAAATCTGCAGTTTTCTCTGCTAAAATGAGAAATCTGCATTTTACTCTGGTAAAGGGGAAAATCTGCAGTTTACTTCATTTTTTCATGGGAAGTGGCAAACCCAGATCCCTGGACATTAGGCACCTCTCCACTTTTGTGAATTCCCATTTCAAAAACTAATTTATTACAGTGCTTACCTCCTTGTGGAGGGGCTTAACAGGGAAAGCCTGAGCCTGCACTTCTCTTTTTATCTCCTCAGATTTTGGACCATTCTTCAAAGCATCTGGGCACCCTTGGGTGCCCCAGTATTCCGGGCTAGAGTCAAATAGGTTTTCTTATTTCAGTTCCATTTATCCATGTTTATTGTAAACATGTTGATTTGTGAGGACAGAAACATATAAATAGCCATGAGAAATTCACAGAATTTTTAGTTTTTTAAAAGTTGGCCTTTGTAGCTCAATTCTCATCCTGAAGTTCAATACGTACAAATGTATAGTTTTTATGTACTTTTTTTTCAAGTGATAAACACTTTTGTGTAATGTGAGAGTTGCACTATAATTTCATCAGTCCTATATTTGGGCGGTAGATCTTAATATACTGCTAAAGGCTTACTAGATTATAAATATTTTGGCAGTGTTACCTGGCCCTTGCTCTATGCTGTCTCTGTTGCTTGTTGGCTTTTACATGAATATCTGTTTTCAAGAAGTCCAATGCAAGGGCTGGTCTCTTGCTCTTTAGCTGAAGTTTTGCTTGTAGGAGGATTTTATTCTATCAGGTAATATTTATGTAAACATTACTGCAAACATACAGTAAATATTTGCCTAATATTCTAAACCTCCCACCACAAATGTAGTGGAAGTCCTTTTTTTATGCTGTAGAAAAATCTACTTTTTTCTTGATTTTGTTTAACTTTGCAAGGGAGATAATTTATATCTGTTGCTGTCAAGGTGAAATATTATGGTTTAGTGCTGCAAGATCCTTAATGAGTTTTCTGTTCCCAGTGGAATGTCTAATTGAGACTTCTGTGCTTACAAGTGATACAGGAAGATGCAGTGTCCAGGGGTGCTAATTTCTCTGACTTGTCTAGAGCTAATGAATAAGGTTCTTCTATAAAACACAATTAAGAACAGTGTAGGATGACCTATGCCCATGCCATTAGGGCATATGTTTGAGATTCATATAAAAGGAAAACAGATGGCATTATTTAAGGGGAAAAGATATGCTTTAAAGAGACCGTTTATAGTCATTAATGAAAATTAATTTTCATTCTTACAAAACGTGTCACAACTGTTGTGTTAGGTATACATATAGGAAGGCCGTATTATGTCTAGATTAGTGTAACCCTTCTGGGTCGCACTGAAACATGGTTATTAAATATAAGTTTCTTGTTTCCCTATAAAGTGGTTTGGAAACTACTACCAGATATAATATTCTAGACACAATTTAGAAATGTCTTCTAAGGATTTTCTTTTTTAATATATTATTAAACTGACGTGCCTTTTTCAGTGAAGGGTGACAAATTTTGATCTTGTCTGTAGACACAGGCATAGGTGCATCTAAGTTTTGAAAAGGGAGAGGCAGATGGTATGGCACGTCATCGCATATAACTTGACATATTTCTCTCCAGCTCCAGTTAAAGAGAAACTAAGAGGTTTACTAGTATACTTGTGGGGCTAGCACTATAGTATTCATTTTAAGAACAAAGCAAAAACAAATGTAACTATTGGAATGTGCACAGATTTGTTAGATTATATATAAAATTGAAAAAAAATACAACCCAAGTAAAAAAAGAAAAATAAAGTCAGGAGTCAAAAAGAGATTGTGTCATTAGTCTTATACTCATTATAGTTAAATATACATCTCCTATGCAGACTTGTAAAACAAAATCTATCCCTCTTGAGTCTATTGACAGTGCCTCCAGTACTTCACTGTCAGTCATTTCTGCATCTTGAGTTTAATATTACCACACCTGAGTTAAGGTTTTTAGTTAGAGCTAAGAACAGTCTTCAGGGCTCTGAAATAGAAGAGAGGCATCACCAGAAATGGCTAACACAGAACTGCAGAAGAAAAGGGGTTTTGAATAATGGAACATCAAGACCATTAAAAGGATACGGGGTCATTAATAGGGACCTACTTAATTTGTGGTTGTGTGGATTTTGTGGAAACGGCAAAACACTGGATTGTCTGCAAAATGCATACAATCAACAACAACAAAAATCAATAAAAATAAAATGCTGGCTCTCTGATGAAACCAGCAGTCCTTGCTGCTGGGAGGGAAAGGCACTGGCCAGCATGGTGGCATGAAGGGCAGCAGACAAGGTAGTGGTTGAAACCTTATACGTGCTCCCCCTACTGGGGCCTCTCTGCCAATCAGTGGTGAGGGGTGGGACAGCACAAAGGACAGCCAGCTATCAAGACGGCAATTGCACCTCATCTCTCCTCCCCCCCTGGGGCCTCTGCCAATCAGCACTAAGGGGCAGGGCTGCATAAAGGAAGCCAGCAATCAAGATGGGAGCTGCCCCCTTGTCTCTTGTCCCTCCAATTAAGGCCTCTTCACTAATCAGTGCAGAGGGGAGTGCATGAAGGGCAGCCAATGATCAAGATGGCAGCCGTCCCCTCATCTCTCCTGCCCACTGGGTCCTCTCCACCAATCAGTGCCAATGGGCAAGGCTGCCACAAAATGCCTATGGAATTGTCTCTGTGCGCCATGAGCAGGCTACAAAAAACCCTTTGTCTCAGCACGATTTAAGTAGGTTCTTGCCCACTCAGGTTTGCTGGCCCTACCCATCTCACCCATGGGTCGCTTCTGCCCTCCACCCCTCATGGGTTGTACTGCTCCCCGTTACCCTGGTGGACTGCCTATCCCCTCCAGCCTGCTGGGCCCCCAGCCCCACCACTAGCTCCCCAATCCCAACTTACCTGATGTTGGGCAGCCATTTTGATCCAGTTAACTTCCCCCTAACACCCCGAAATATCTGCATTCAGCCCTGAAGTCTAGTATTGTAGGAACAACTGCAGCACCTGTTCTAACATGGGCTGAAGTGCACATGGCTGAAGCTGAATTTTTTTCTAATGAAAAAGCATATGTTTTCATTGAAGTGAAATGCCAAACTTCAGAGGTAATCGGTTCTAGAAAAGTTTCATTATACACCTGAGGAAAGAAACAAAGAATTTCCCCATACTTTTATGATTGCTGAAGCTTTACTTTGTTAATAGTGCAGTATTCTCTAGATAGTTGAAGAAATAAACAGCTCTATTAAACATATAAAGCTGACAAAACTGTAACTGTGATTGGAAATTTTAGGTTTCTTTCTGCTTAATTGCGGAGATTTTTCTTTTCTTTTCCCCATGTTGGAATGGTCTAGTCTCTTGAACCAAGGATCCTTCTTTTGATGACTGGACAATTGAGAAAAAGGGAAAGGAGAGGAAAGAAAACACAACTCTGTTTCCTTTTGGAGAGTTTTCTTCTAAAAGCCTGTGGATTTTTTTTCTCTTTTCCTTTCTCTTCTGTGTGGTCCAAAAGGTTTGAACTTTAGGTTCAGGCACCTTGGTTCCAGCCACTGCCTGCTGACAAAGGTATCACTAGTTGGATTAAGTAATTTTGTAGATCCTTTTGGACTCTTTGTTTTCATGCTAAATGACCAACTTATAAGAGAAGCACTGCCTAAATTCTGAATTAAGTTTTTCCCCAGTTGATTTTGTTTTCCACAGAGGGGAGAACATTCTATTTCCTATTAAATCAGTTACTGCTAGGAAAATAATTAACCAAATATATTTGGATTGTTAAACATATAAGTCCCTTATTTCCTTATAAAGTATTTTGGAAACTATTGCTGGATTTAATAATGTTTTAGAAACAATTTAGAGATACTTTGTAAAGGTTTTCTCACTTTCTCACATGAACATTTCTGTTAAAAATAGACGCACTCAAATGCAGCTTGATATCTAACTGAATCTGTATTAAATATAGAGATTATTTGATATTTACTTGCTTTGTGTAACTCTTACTTTTGTATTTTTTATAGGATGTTGTTCCTTTGATGAGCCATTTAGCTCCTGTGGGTACACTCAGTCTGAGGATGATGATCTTAATTGGGACCAGGTGCACACATTGGTAAAGCCCTTGTCTGATCCATGGATGCCATCAGGTTTGTTTTTGTTTGGATCTTTCTTTTTGTTAGCTTGGAGAGTTGGTTAGTATTTCGTGACCGTGCTGTGGGTAGAACATTGCTTTCTTTAAATCTTAGAGTACTCAGCTAACTGTTGTGACAGGGCATTTTGCAAAAGAAAGTTTCATTTTCTTGTGCTTAAACCATTTGAGGCAATTTAAAAAAATGCTCTTTAAAGGTAGAGAAGAGAGAATGAAATTGGAATGAAGGAATACAAATATTAGCTAGAACTAAACTAATGGACAGAAATCTTTCATAAAGAAAGATGCAAAAGAGAAAAACAATGTAAGTATTTTTCAAAATATGAATTAAATGAGATTCTAAATAAAAAGATTGTGAAGAAAAACACTGAGAAACACAAAAATGGGATGCAGATATGCAATGCTGCAATTATTTTTTTCTTAATCAAACAAAATGCCTTTTAAATATAGTATCCAATGGATAGTCTTTTTTTGCTCTGAGGCCCAATGGGATGAAATTCCATGGCAACAGGCCCTAAATTCTGCTACAGTACTAATTTATTCTTGCCATGAAATACCCTCATTCCCATCCCACCTACCTACACATAAGCATAAAGAACTATGCCTCAGGGTTGAAAATATCCATTGCCATAATAGTCTCCAGTGATTATTTTCAAGGGTATGTGTTTTTTAGTATGCCCTCTACTCCTGACTTCTGCCTCCTCTGATATTGGCCCTGGCTTAGAACCTCCTTTCCATTTCTAAATATTGCAATTTCATGTCCACACACCTAATGATGCCAAAAATAAACACGGCACCTCCTATGATCAGTGGTTTTAATAGTTCAGCACTTCCTAGGTATTAAGGTGCTATTCTAGCCATAATGTATTACTCTCATTAATAAATTTATTGCCATAAATATGCACATCTGCCTTAATTCCATTAGAAATTGTTGTGCTATTATTTCATTAATGTCTAAGTCAATTAGTGCCTTAAAACTCTAATACTGTGCATTGGTGGCTGGCTTAAAAATCTATTAATAGCTTTTCCTTCATAAGAGAAAAAATGCTACTTGCTTATTTTTTGTAAAAGAGAAAATGTTTTTAAAATTACTTAAAATCCTATTAGAGTAAATTACTTATACTAATCACTTACAAAGATCCATTTATCAGTCTATCATATGTATTAGTTACTAGTGCCATATGCTGGTATGAACAGTAGAATTGGACCAAGTTTGAACACTTACTTGCACTAAATTTTTTTCCTCTTCTCTACGTTTCCTTCAAGTAAGTTGGGATATAACTTCAGCACAAGTATTTCTGTTGACTGAGTGCTGGGATTTGACCTCTGTGCTAGACAGAGTTCATCAACTTCAGTTAAAAGTGTTCTTGCAGATTCTTTTTTGAGCTGGTTCTTGTCCATTAGCCTTGGCACATATGATAGCATATTTTCTGGACCATTTCATTAGTACAGTTTCTCAACTTGGTGCTAATGCAATGGAAAGCATTTCCTATAATTTATGTTCTATGTAGTACAAACCTTATGTAGTAGCTTATTTAAAGTTTTTGCTAAAACAATACAATGAATTTGATAGTAAAATAAGATATAATTATATAATTTATGGTTGTTGGTAAAATATATAGTACAACGATGCATTCTACCAATTTAAACAAATTAAAACAGAACATATAAACATTATGGTACAAAAAATAGATTAAATGAAGGAGATACTATAGTTGGATGAAAGAACAAAAACAGGAATTTTATTTGATTTTTGGCCCTTATTTTTTGTGGAAGTAATGCAGATACTCCTAGGGGGTATAGAACAGCCTGTAAACTACTAAAGAGAAACCAACTTATTTTTTCTTATTAGCTCAGTATTTAAAATCTTCCATCACTGAAGAAATATATACATATAATTTTACTGTCAATTATACTGTCATTTTATATTGTTTAAGTGAAAGCTGTAAGTAAACTATTACTAATACAAACCTTATGTTGTCCTTGAAATGATTATGTTGCCAGTAGTTCAGATCTGTTTATTATCTATTTAGTTTTATTCCTAGTAATCCCTACCAATTTATGGAAGAAGTATCAGGGGGTCTTCCCAGTTTTCCTCAGTATATGGAACAGCTTTAGAGTTATGTTTTCCTGCAGGTTAATGCATTACATTTTTGAATATTTTAGCTTCCATGTGTAGAAATCTAGTCAATGGGCACGTCTACATGTGTGCATTTACTGCGCAGTAACCAAAATTAATGCACAGTACGGGTGCATGTCTACACATGCATGGCCGTACTGCACAATAAATACAGTAACTTACGCCAACCTGAGCATAAATTTGATACCTGCATCATGCAGGTATCAAATTTATGCCCAATTACTTACTGCTCAGTAACACATGTGGGCTCTTGGCAGGCCACCTCTCCTGTCTTCAGCTTGAGACTAAAGTGAGTCCCAAGTGCTGGCAGCCATATGGCTGGAGGCTGGAGGTCCCCTCAGTGGCCACAGGGGCACATGGCAGGCTGCTCTGACCTGGGACTAAATTTAGTCCCAGGTTGCCTGCACATGTAGATATTGGCCTATTCCTGCTTATTGCATAGTAATTTACTGCATAGTAAATTTAAGCTGGTGTAAATGTATGTATAGACATGCCCAATGTGTAGGAACTCTGGTATGTCATTAGAGAAGATTACTTATGTGATATTTATCTAATATCATTTTAGCTTATTTATTTGTTTTGTTGTCTTTCTTTCTGTGTGGGATACTACAGTTGTTGATGTTTTATCTTTCAGATAACCAATTATATGAATATTTAATATGGGAGAACATAAATCATATTTAGAATATTGGGAGGTCTTTACTACTTGCTCATAAAGGATATAAAATGTTTTTTAAGAATCTTGGGATAGCACCTGGCACTTGGGGGATCTCTCTGAGAGTTTAGTGGTAGAGGATTAGGAGGAGGGAAGGGGATAGAAGGAGAAGGATTCTTATTTATTGCATTTAAGGCCAAGAATCCAGTCAAGTGTTATCTGGTTTTCCTCTCATTTTGTATAGACTTTTTTCTTATTTTTGTTGATTTCATCTTCTTGATGATTTTATTTATTTTTCAGTTAGCATTTAACCAGTGAGTTATGTGATACATTTAAAAAAAAATTATATGAAATAATTTGTCAGCAGTTTCTAAGCTACATATTTTAGAAAAAAATAAGCTCAGATGGTAATGAATAGAACATCTTAGATTAATGGTTTGTAAGTTATCCCAGGCTTTTGCAGTAAAAAGCTTTATGCAACAATACTGTAATGCTAAACTAAAACAAGTTCACTCAGCTTAGTGGTCCCTTGTCAACAGAAAAATTAATGCACACAACGTTCCTAATTTCAGGCAATATGCTTCAATGAGTGAGTTGATGTCAGTTCAGAACATTTCAGATAATTTGGTGGCAATGGGGGAAGCATACTGTTTAGTCCTTGAATTGGGTATTTGATTTATTTTAATCCACAGAGAGTACTGAAGGTTAAAGTCTACTTCAGATAAGGAGCCATTGATAGCTTTAAATGGTAAGCTATTTAAATGGGACAAAATAAATGTATGACCCATAAAAGTTGTTTTAAAAGTACATCTTAATATTTACCAGAGTTCTTGCAGTGCTTGTTGTAAAGTCTGAGTTGTGCTGAAATACAAGCCAGAATAAAATGAGTTTTTTACAGTATGTCACCATAGGCTTTAATCCTCGTGGAGCCTTTGTATACTACTGCAGTGCAAAACATAAATGCTAAATTAATGTTATTCAATGAAGTGAGTAAATCTGGAGGCCTAACTTATTTGATAAATATCAACCTTTTACTATAGATATTACTCTGAAAATGCATAGAGTAAAGTAATCAAAGAATGACATCTTTTTCTGCATACACACATTCAAATAATCTGGGAAAATTCTCCCAGGTTTGTTCTGGTAGAAAAGCTTAACCAGAGCCACAAATACAGACTATCTCTATGTCTGCCTGGAGTTAGTCTTCTTGGTGACAGATGGCAGCTGTGCATACGGCAGTCCTGATTGGCTGTCCCAGTCTGCCCACAGTCATCCTGTCGTTCCCTGCAGCACAATGTTGGGATTGTGAAAGGGGCATGTTCTGCCCCATGCTGGAGCAGCAGAGTTCAGCAAGTGACACGCTGTCCTCCCGGGGGGTAAGGGGTAAGGATGGGGATGCTGGAGGACTGTGTTCTCTTCTGGGAGAAGCCCAGTATGTACAGATAGTTACTGTTACAGAAGAAATTGCCCTGGGAGTGATTAAACCCTGGCTTTTTCCAGTTTCTTTTTCTTCTAGAGTAGCCACTCCTACTTTGGCACAAAAAGCCTAAATAAATGTGTTTATTCTGTACGTTAATGGTTTCTTCTGGGAGAGCAGCAACTCTCCCAGGGGAAGCTGAATGTCTTTATGTGGTTTTTATGTTTTTCTGGAAGTTTATGTGGACTGAATGATAGTGGTTAAACCTCTACCATTTTTTTTTTTTAAAGAGCGTAGGATCAGGAGTAAGCTGGAATATGGAGATGGCTAAGTAACTTGTTTAAAAAAAGTTGTATATAAAATGAAAACTGAAAAATGTAAATAGAAAATGTCTTGATAATAGATTGGCTTACCTGCCACACTTTATAAAATGTTGTAGGAAAAGCGGTCATTCACTCTCTCCTAAGCGCTCTTTTCATCCTTAACTTTCTGCTGTAAGAACTTTTATTTTTTAATTATTTTACTTTTTCAAAACTCAGAGATAGATTTTATTAATATCCAGTAGTTATTACTGTATTGTACTTAATGTATTGAACTGCTGGATTCTTATATATTGTTGCTTTGACCTGCAATTATACAAAGCTAACTTAAAATGTTATAAAATATTAAATCTACTTTCTTCATATGATTATATTATGATTAGAACAAATTATTTTAGATCAGTGATAAGGGTCTGACATCTCAATAGCAGATGGTGTTTGGAATAATTTTATTTTAACTCCATTA